AGTGTCGGATCCACTTATCGATTCCCCCGGTGCTTTGAATATAAGATTGCAAAGCAGAGCTTTCGAATAAAAATTCCGAACTGGGAGGGATTCTTCGTAAGCCCTCACGTAAATATTTGTTAGGTATTTCCGCCAAGATACGCTCTCGACGTACTTCAATACATTCGGCACGTTTGCCACAAACTATTTGTACTATACTACAAACGATATATTACATTATATCTTCACTTATTTTATGAAATTTAGACTGAGCATTAAACAGGTCCGATATTTTGTCAAACACGCTTGAAGGATTAAGCTCAGTGTTGGGGGCGGCTGCCCAGTTGACAAACTCCTGTAGTTGTTGTTTAAGGCACTCATGTTGAGAAAGCAATCCGTTTGTAATAGCTGCCAAAGATCGCTCAATGGGGACCGCAAGATCCTTGCCTTTTATATATTGACGCAATTCGTCATTAATACGAAGTTCGACAAAACCCGGTTGAGCACTGTAGGTTTTTAAGGCATCTGAATACCGAACCTCTTTCCAATTAATATCGTTAAATTTTCGCAATTGCTCTAGTTTTCTAAGTCTAGTGGGGTCAGCGCTGAGTATCTTTGGTTCTTTCACCAAAGTATTCATTACTCCAATATTTAATTCAAGGTTATTTTCTGTGATAGTAGCGGGGCGTTGTAAGAACGACTGTTTTAAAGTGTGATCAGAAGACAGATCGTTACTTTTGGATTGAGGTACGTTATTCGAATTATTCATTAAAAGATTTGTAAGCACACTCATTTGATTTAAAAGCATACTGTAATTATCAATATCCGACGTACCTTGTCTTTTTCGTTTTACCTCCGATTCGGAAGAAAGCTCCGAACTCGCACGCCGCTTTCCGCCTGCCTGCTGCCGGGCGGAACTACCCTCGTTCGAAGCGCGGTCGGCACATTCATCACCAACCACCATCATGTACACTTCATTATCACTTGAATTACATTCACTCATTTTTTATTTTAAATATTTACTTTAACAATATACAATTTTTCTAAAAGAGTAAACTTTCGAATCAATCACGAGCAGAATTTCTGCTTAAGATGTTGCTAGTACGAAAGTTGACGACGCTATGAGAACACTGCGCACCAACAACTCCTTTTAAGGTGACTCAAATGGCGCCAAACGGAAGTAAGTCTTTTAAAGTATTAATTTAAAGGAAGTTACCATAGCAACGACAATGGCGGTAAGTAAAATTAACGGAAATCGCTAGACCGGAAGTCGACGCACTCTCACAGATGCTATGCATCGTCACATGCCGATAATATAACATTATTATTCATTTATTTATTTTTTAACCTTACAGGGAATCGAACCTGTTACCTATCATTCTTATGGTTATTACCATATCAATAATCCACCTACTCAACAAATTACACTAAAGCTAACAATTAAAAGAAATGAAAATACTTTAATGAGACTACCTATTGATCTGTCATAAACAAAATGTGTAAAAGTTCCTTATAATATGTGTAGTGAAAAAAATTCTAATAAAATGACAAAGTTATATTTAATATGCTTTTGAAATAAAATTCTAAAATGACTATTGTATTGAACCTTATTTACATACCACTATTGCTTTAAAACATTCATATAAACAATAAACTGAAATAAAATCTCATTAGTAACACAATATTATTATTGTACTATCAACCTATTCGGCATAATATAAATTTTCATCATACACCGAATTATCACTATTCCTTTCATTATTCTTTTGTGTATATTGTCTTTTAAACTTGCACTTAATATGTTTGATTATATTAATTGTTCATTATAAAAGTCTACTATCGCATTATTTCGAAGTAAAAAATCCTGTCCTAAGATGAGGTTATGACTAATATTTTCTACCACAAGAAAATCGTGAATGAATAACGCATTGTCTATCAATAATTTTAGGTTGACTTTCCCTATAACAGACAATTCTTTACCATCGACGGCTTTCAACTTCGTATCGCTTTCATCAATTTGTTGATGAATTCGACTTACTGTGTCTTTTGACACCACAGACACTACAGCACCACTATCAATGAGCCCTACAAACTCCTTATCACGACACGTTATATTAATTAATGGTTTGGACTCACTTGTATGCTGATTGCTGTTTTCTAATGGCTTGGAATGAAAATCTTCTCCATCAACCATCGTCATTAAATTATCTTCATTTAGTTTTCTTTTTGGATGCTTCTTCTTCTTTGATTTTAGCTTCTTTTTGGTCGTGTTACTGGAACAAAAAGTGCGGGGAATCATGTGTTCAGGAGGAACAATGGGATGAGAAAGGACACTTTGGGAGGAAATGAAGTTGATTTCCTTCTCCTGTTCTTCTTCATGCCTTATTATAGGCGAAATTTTCGCTGCTTCGAAGTTTGTCATTGGTGTAACAAACGATGGTTGGATCGGCAGATTCCAACAAATTTCGGCACTTTCGTCCCCGAAAATATCTTGTGCTTGACGTAAAAGAGTCTTTAAATGCAATTTATCAGTTTAAAATTGAACTGCGAAAAGATTTTTTGTATTTTTATTCGCATTTTTCAAGAACTGTCTAATGAAGCATTTGTCATCGATGACAGCTCCCGCTTTTGTGGCCAGCTCATCTAATACATAAAAATAGTCCAATGGCTCTTCTGACAAGCCTTGTCTTCGTGAGAAAAATTTTTCCAACGCATTTATCGATGATGGAAATACCTCACGTATTTTCTTTTCTAAAATCTGAAAATTCTCACAAGACTCATTAATTTTTTTATAGAATAACAATGCAGGACCACTTAAATATGCCGACAACACAATTCTTTTTGTTTCATCGTTGAAATTATTGATGGCGGCGATGATATTAAACTGACGAAAGAAATCAGTTACATCACCTTTTCCGTCGAATGTGGTCCTAGTCTCCATCTTTATAAAAACTACTTCTTTCTTGATTTAAAAATTCTTCACTCGCCGTACTTGAATCTACGCGGCGCGTCCACCATGAGGAGCTCTAGCCAGAGTGGATAGAACCTGGGGACGTGGCTATTAATTAAAACAACTTGACGATGGTTATTATTTTATATTAGATTTCAGGCGAATATAATTATTTTTATCTAACTACGAGAGGTTTGCTTGGTGCCTGAAGATCTTCTCTTGTATGGAACCTTCTATCAAAAGACAGATGATTCCTTATTTCAAATCTTAAAATCATGACATTAACTTTTTAATATAACTGCCAACCGTAGGCATTGCAAAAGCAAAGAGTTTACCTAAACAAGGAGGCTGCAACGTCACGGACGTTACAGTACCTACTATATATAAAATAGAAACAAAATACGACTGTATGGTGTGTCTTATTAATAACCTATTTTACTTGAATGAACTGCTAGTATCAAAATCATTTTGGTCCGACTGTATAGGGTTGCTACATGCATACTAGTGGCGCCATCATTTAATGTCACGACTTTATAGACAAACTGTAGTCTGTAGTGATCTATATCCTATATCTGTGGTGGTATAATATAAATACTACTCTTTGATATATAGTGATCTGCAGTGTTGCCAACTCTACGCCTTTTTACGTAGGTCTACGCATTTTAGGCCTTTTCTGCAAACCTACTAACTTCAGCCCCAGAATCTACGTATTTTCTTTAATTTTTTCAAATTTGTAAAATAACAATTCTCTAGAATAAAGAAGAATATTTTCCGTTACTTTACTTAAAAACTATACAAATGTTTATTTCCTATAATTATGTATTTAAAAACTCTTGTATCTTGTCGAAAGGGTTCCCGTTATTGGTTTTGTTGACTAAATTAATGCTGGACGCAGGATTTCTGAAAGCAGAAATGACAAAACTCTTTGCCTTAGTAGGTACATTCATAACCTTAAAATTTGTATTTTTAAACTTTAAATATTATTCAATGAGTACTTACATCGAATTGATCTTTGCAAAAAGAAATGACTTTCTGTCGATAAAGTTACAGGATTTAGCAAGTTTTAAACATGCGTTCATGTGTTACTTACACATGAACGTACGCACGTTTATTTCTCTAGGCAATTTAAACTATAACTTTTGTAGTCTTTCACCAAGTGTATCATGATAACTACTATATTTTTCATGTGATCTATTAGAAATCATGGTTTTATAATATTAACTCAGAAATTTTATTTCCTACGTGCTTGCGAGTGTTTGTTTACAAATGTTTTAACGTCATAGCATAGATAAGTCTATAGACTAAATAGCGTTTTTGTATGTCTTCTAGGTAAAAAAAAAAATTTTTTTTCGGTCTGATAGAACATTTATTAACAATTTAAAACATAATTCCAAAAAGTGTCAACTAGCCTATTTAACAACAGTGTATTCTTGTCATTCTCTATACAGAATGAAAAAGATAGACTGATTTTAAATTTAGTTTTAAATTAAGAGAATCATGCCAGAATCGACACCCACCAGTGTCTGTGTCTGATGCTAAATGTCTACCACAGCATGGTAAACACTTCTCCAAGAGCTCTTTGTTCTATCTCCCGTTTTTAAAGAAATTGAATAACAAAATACTCGTTTTATTCGGTTTCACCTAACTTCTTCATTTCACTCAGAAAAAAGTACGTAGATTTACGTACTTTTCATATGCAAAATTTACAAATCCACGTAATTTTCTCATCAGGCCTACGCCTTTTTCAAAATCCGAGTTGGTAACACTGGTGATCTGTGTCTAAATCACAGATTAATAAGATTATGTCTGTCGAAGTGTCGAATGAATTGTTTCGTTCTTGTTGTATGTTCATTATTTTGGGCGTTTTGATTAATTGTTGTGTACTTGGGAATGTTTATTTCCCAAAAACTGTACAGTTTTCCATAATTTATAATGCAATAAAATGAGTTTTTTTAATATCTGATTTCTTTTCGTATAAAATGCTGTGAAATCATAAATTTTGTCGTAACAATTGTCAACAGCTTTTAACCTTTTCTGCTAAGTTATTGTAATTTAATCAAATTAAAACGTTATGCCGGAGCAAAGCAATGATTATCGAGTTGTAGTTTTTGGTGCGGGTGGTGTTGGAAAAAGTTCCCTTGTATTGCGGTTTGTCAAGGGAACTTTTAGAGAATCGTATATACCAACAATTGAAGACACCTACAGACAAGTATGTATTTTTTCCATTTAGTTTTACTTTCAAACTATAATTTACGTGACCAGATAATGTGTATAAATCTATCTATAAATAGTTTTATTAAAACCTAAAATTTTTGTTATATATTTATGAGAGAGAAACATTTTATTGATTAATTTAAACAAATAAAATTATTTTAATAAATTCAGCTTCTAAAATTGTCAAGCCTCAAAAACCCTTTGAAATATATTTACTGGCCATGGGCTAGTTTTTGGTTAAGTTCTCATATTGGGTAGTAGGTAGGAAACAGTCCATACAGATTTTTCTTTAGTATTCTTGTATTATGTGTATTGGAATATTTAGAAGGGTATTTCTCTCCTATTTGAAAACTTGATGATACAAGAGTGTACTAAGCAAATTTTATTAAATGTTGAGAATGTTTGTTAATAAAATGAAAGACAATATTAAATTAAATATACCTCTTTGAAAAGCCCACATATTTCATCATGGTTTTTGAGGTATAGTAAATTTTATACAAAATCTCGACAAAGTATGTTTTAATGAACAAAAAAGAACCTATTTATGTATGAAAGTGAATCAAATTTTGTTTCTAGTTCTTATGTATTATTTAAACAATTATATTTGAATTAAATCAAGAATATTAAAATAAATTTTTGTTAACAATTGTTGTTCTTATCATGTTCTTAGAATAAAAGTATTTTAAGATACAAATTGTATCACGGCAATGCCAGTCTTTATAATGATTAAAAAATAACAAAGAAATAGAAATTTTGCTAACTAATGATCACAATCAACATTGTCAGTAGTTTAAACATATTTTGAAACAGTTGTACTGAATCATTTATTCTATTTTATTATTTATATCTAATAAATTATTATGAGAATGGTTATTTAATAATACACCACTGGTTCTAACACCATTCTAGTTTCATATGCCTTAAACTAAAGAGACAGATTACAACTATAGCTATAGACATTTTTGGTTACTTATGTTTTGAGTTATTTGCAATGCAATTAAAGTTTTTGTTTTAATTTAAATGGGTATATAAGAAACTATGAAAGCTTTATTTCAAATATTTGTAATATGTACACCAATAAAAAATATAAATGTGAAATGAGAGACAAGTTCAATATTATAATATTTGCCTTGGTTGTTGACTTCAACAACAAAAGAAGTGAGTGAACTGGGTTCCAAGTCCAATGGTCAGTCCTGAAATTTATAGCAATTTAAAATATATTTTTTTGTTTTAATCTCAGATAATATATTGAAGCTTATCCTGCCCATTAATTGACATAGTGGCATAATCGGTTTTTGTCCCCACCCAAGGTCAGTATTTTTATATGACTATAATTAAGTTTGCAAACTTTTATCTTTTACAGGTGATAAGCAGCAACAAAACTATATGCACACTACAGATTACAGATACAACAGGATCTCATCAGTTTCCGGCCATGCAAAGGTTATCAATAAGCAAGGTAATTGCACCAATTTGATCAAATATTGGTTCCTTTTATTATTGCTTTGTATCAGTATTTTTTCTGCCAATTGGCCTCTTCCAAACATGTGACTAACCAAGTAACATTAATTTCTAGTATGGTGTTTTTTCAATCCTTGGTAGTGTTAAGGCTGGCATAGTTAGGTTGTGAAGTTATTTACGAATCTCTGTTGTACCTATATCAGCAGTTATTCACATAAACATCTTAAAAGAGTGTGAAAAAACTTTTAACAAATATCTAAACTGAATTTCGACTAAGAAATCGAAAGTCAAAGTGGTGACCATCTACATTGCAACCCTAAACGTCCTCTCACTAAAAAGAACTGAAAGACTAATCGAGCTAAAAATGCCTTTGAAAGAAATCAAGTGGGACCAATGATATTAAAAACCCTAGATACAACAACACAAACAAAATCATGGCTGAAACCCGTCCACTGTGAAGTTAGCCCCCCACTTTTTGAATTTTAATATTATCTAGGTTGTTCTGGGTTGTTCTATGTTTGTTCTACATTGTTCCAAAGTATTATTTGAAAAAACTCAACTATGAAGCTGCCAGACAAAAAAAAAACTTTTTCTATGGTAGCCCCCCATGTTTGGAAAGTCAATATTATTTTAGTTGTTCCTAACATTGTTCCAAAGTATTATTTGAAAAAACTCAAATTTGAAGCTGCCAGACAAAAAAAACTTTTTTATGGTAGCCCCCCATGTTTGGAAATTGAATATTATTTTAGTTGTTCCAAGTTGTTCTAGTTGTTCCTAACATTGTTCCAAAGTATTATTTGAAAATACTAAAATTTGAAGCTGCTAGACAAAAAAAACATATTTTATGGTAGCCCCCCATGTTTTGAAATTCATTCTTTTTTTAGTTGTTCCAAGTTGTTCTAGTTGTTCCTAATATTGTTCCTAAGTATCATTTGAAAAAACTCAAATTTGAAGCTGGCTGGCTAGACAAAAAACACTTATTTTATGGTAGCCCCCCATGTTTTGAAATTCATTCTTTTTTTAGTTGTTCCAAGTTGTTCTAGTTGTTCCTAATATTGTTCCAAAGTATCATTTGAAAAAACTCTGAAGCCATCAGGCGAAAAGAACCGTTTTTGAGATAGCCCCCCATGTTTGAAAATTCATTATTTTTTTAGTTGTTCCAAGTTGTTCTAGTTGTTCCTAACATTGTTCCAAAGTATTATTTGAAAAAAATAAAATTTGAAGCTGTAAGACAAAAAAAAACCGTTTTTCAGATAGACCGACATGTTCGGAAATTCATTATTTTTTTAGTTGTTCCAAGTTGTTCTAGTTGTTCCTAACATTGTTTCAAAGTATTATTTGATAAAACTCAAATTTGAAAAAATCTTTTATTTATAAAATAAAATCGTCCCAGAGACAATAAATAAATCAAAAATCATGTTAAACAATGACGATTGTACAACAACAGTACAACCGTGGGCTATATCGTTCCAATTTCATTTAATCATTTTGAATAAAATTAATAATTTTAAGACAAGAAAACAGTGGAATGTAGGGTAAAGTCCCTAATGGTTGGCACTTTAAGAGTAGGTAGCATGTCAGACTAATGTCTGACTAGTACTAGTTCATTTACATGTGATTTTATGGTAATTTAATAATTACCATAAAATCACATGTAAATGAACTAGTACACAACACATGTAACAGTATCAAAGAAAATAGTTTAATCTTTGTTTTCATAATGGTACAGTCAATGAAGGCAAAAATCAGCTACAACCTCCGATTTCGTTGAACCTCCATCGATTTTCATGAAAATTGGTAAGTTGGTGAGGGATACCTTAAGAAACAAAAGTGACATAGTGCCAACTTGCGCTTTTGCCCTGAGGGTAGATACCACCCCTTCTCGGGGGTGAAAATTATTTTAATTAAAATAACTCCAGGAATCGATAGAGAGACAAATTTTAAGCAAAATTTGTTATATTAAGTTTTCGGAATAAATCAATACTTTCTGAGTTATTAAAGATCAAAGATTGTGATTTTGTGTGATAAAAATACATTTTTTAAGCGGTTTTTCATAAATAACTCAAAAACTATGAGTTTTACAAAAAAGATCCTTTAACCAAAATTGAAGCTGATAAAAAAACAAACAAACCCCTACTTTGAAAAACCTTCTAATTTTAATTCAAAGTGAGCTATAGGTTAATTGTATGTATATTTTTTTCGGCAAGTACTTAAATCTAAGTATAATAATCTAAATCTAAAGATAATAGCTTCAAATTTGAAAAAGTTATGATAAAAATAAGATAACACTCAATTTATTTGGGGAAAACGAAAAATAAACCCTTCATCATTCATCAAAATGCATCGGTTTCCCGTTATTTAGGTTTTAATACTTAGATTTAAGTACTCGTCGAAAAAAAATATTTGTACAATTACCTATAGCTCACTTTGAATTAATATTAGAAGGTTTTTCAAAGTAGGGGTTTGTTTATTTTTTTTATTAGCTTCAATTTTGGTCATAATACATTTTTTGTAAAAACTCATAGGTTTTCAGTTATTTATGAAAAAACTGCTTTAGAAGGTGTATTTTTATCACGAAAGATCACAATCTTTGATCTTTAATAACTCAGAAAGTTTTGATTTATTCCGAAAACTTTATATAACACATTTTGCTTAGAATTTGTCTCCCTATCGATTCCTGGAGTTATTTTTATTAAAATAATTTTCACCCCCGAGAAGGGGTGGCATCTAACCCCAGGTAAAAGCGCAAGTTGGCACTATGTCACTTTTGTTTCTTTAGGTATCCCCCACCTACTCACCAATTTTCATGAAAATCGATGGATATTCAACGAAATCAGAGGTGAAAACCTTCATTGGCTGGATTATAACTAATTGTATGTGATTGAATGGTTAATAATAGAAATTGGGATCGATTCTAGCGTTACATTCTCTAAACCTAAACTTAGAGAGCTAGTTTTAGTTTAGGTTTAGAAAATTGGTATTCTGAAATTGCGAAATAACTAAATTAAGAACACAATTGACTTGACAACTGTAAACGAGCATCTAAATTGAATACACTACAAAAAAATTACAAACTAAAAAAAGGGAAGGACATTAACAACCTGCACGTGGTCCTTCCTGCATACGCGCAAACCGTTTGGCTACTACCACGTAACTAATGTTAACAACCAAGGTATATTGATATATTATAAATATTTTTTTGTAACTATAAATCTTATTCAAAATGATTAAATACAAAAGAGATTTTGTTTCATTATTATTATACCCTGGATATGTGAAAGTAAGTAAGTATATCTTGTTTTTATAATGATAGGTACTACGTAGGTCTCTATTACCTACTTTTAACTAATGCCAACAATTAGACGAATAGATGCCAATATTGAGATTTTTTGTGCCAATGATAGGATTTTCTGCACAATGTCTATTTATAACCATTCAATCACATACAATAGGGAAGATCCATATATAATATTTATGAAAATTTTATGATTAAAATGTTAAAAAAATATAAAAGAAGCCACTGCAACGTTTTTATTTTACATAATGTTGTTTTTTAACAATTATTACGAATTAAAAATACTTGAAACAGAACGTATTTTAAAACACCAATCAGCGTTTAGTGACGTTACTCCTGTTATGACAACTTCTTTGAGGTTATGGTTATTAAAGTAAATATTATTTTATGGGAATATTAATTGCGTTTTCTTACATTTAATAAAAATGGAAGTTGCGTTTATCAAAGCAGACTCCAGGAATTTACCAAGAGTTAGTGTTGACATGGTTATAACTTCTTTTGTCCAAAGTGCAGAGTTTTTAAGTGTAGAAATGAAAGGGACTAAATTACTACGGTATGTAAAAATCGTAGTTGGTAAACTTCGTATTTTATTCAGCGGCTTCTACAAATCTTACGGCGATAATGCAATCGGCTATGTCCAAATTAAAAGAGATGGAGAATTATGTACAGTAAAAGGTCGAGTTCTCCGGAGCATAAAGTACGTAAAGAAGGTTATCGTGTTACAGTTATCCTGCCAATGGTGTCGATTCTAGAGTGATTCTCTACACTTAAAACTAAATTTAACATCAGTCTCTCCTTTTCATTCTGTATAGAGAATGGCAAGGATGCACTGTTGTCAAATTTAAGTTTAGATTTAGAGAATCATGCCAGAATTGACACCAATGTGAAGATTGTGCCACACATTTTAAAGTTTATCTAATTTTCGACGTCATTCTCCAACTGTAAAATTAAAAATATGTTATAGACAGGTTTTGTAAGTATTAGGTAGGTTACTAATGCGTTTTTACGTACAAGCAGATTAATTAATAATTGTCATTTCTCTTCGCAGCTTGAAACCACTTTTTTTTTCAGTTTTAGGTTAGAAGTTCCAGTCAAAAACAATTTATTTGGAAACTTTGTTGAAGTAGATTGGCACAAAACATGTGTCAACACGGCTTTTTTTCGGAATATTAGTGGTATTGTTATGATCACATGATGTTGATGGATAGTCCATTTTAAATTTTTCAAAAAAATATTTCGAAAGTCGAAAAAATATGCAAAAGTATGAAAATTTAAAGCCAGCGACGAACAAGTACGACCGGTGACAGACAGGAGTGACGTCATCGCAACCATAGGTTCATTTTCGCGCGAAAATTTAAATTGTCAATTTAAAACCGCATTTTTTCCGATAAATCACAATGTTTTAATTTTTTAATATATCTGTGGTTTATTCTACATAGAATTCTTTAAAATGATAACAAAAATAAAAATATTGCATCTTCCTTATTAGATGTTATAGTCCAGTCAATGAAGGTTTTCACCTCCGATTTCGTTGAATCTCCATCCGTTTTCATGAAAATTGGTGAGTAGGTGGAAGATACCTTAAGAAACAAAAGTGACATAGTGCCAACTTGCGCTTCTGCCCTGGGGGTAGATAACACCCTTTCTCGGGGGTAAATTCTAAGCAAAATTTGTTATTTTAAGTTTTCGGAATAAATATACTT